TATATACAGAATATAGAGAGAGGAAGGTAAGAGGGATAGGAGAAATGAGAGAAATTCCTCCACCAAATTAAACAAATCATTTGGCGCCTGCACAAGCCCTGAAATTTTAAGAGATATAGAGAGAGAGATATATAGAAATATATAGAGAGAGAGAGAGGAAGGTAAGAGGGATGGGAGAAATGAGGAGTCTGACAGTTTTGGTTAGTGGAATTCAAATTTGACAAGTGCAAGTGACATTTGTGCATGTGAAGGGAAGGGAAGAAACCACGTGTGCAGAAGAACCTCTCTGCATGGCATTGTGGGTCTGTGTGCTGTGTAATCTGTATTGTCTTTTTGCATTCACAAGCAACATAAATAGGTTGGAGTGGGGACTATGCTATTAAATTCCAATTATGCTACATGGTCAAGTAAATGATAGAAAAGTATTTCCAGATTACACTTGGTAGTTTAACATTGGAAAACAGAAAAAAAAATCATAAAAGCACTCACTCATGGGATGCCATATCAATTTTTTTTTTCTTTTTTTTTTCAGCATTATTTATTAAAGTTCACTCTTCAAGGCTGATTTTTTGTTTCTTTATTTGAATTTGAAGATGTTACTATGATAAAGGTCAATAAAACGACAATCAAATTGTAAAATTGAATTGAAACCTTTGATTTAGGTCTATGTGAATAGTTGAAAATAATTTGAGTAATATAGGTGGAATATTTTATTCTAGGACACAAGAATAGGAAATGCTTTATGTGCCGAAAAATAGGGACTTTCAAAATTTCGGTACAATAATAAATTCATGGTCGAACTTATAAACTATATTATTTTTAATATTTTTACCATCATTAAATTCATGGTCGAACTTTACTTTAGATTAAATATTTCATTTTGTTTATTATTTTATTGAGCTTTGGGTTCATAGATTAGTTAAAAAGAAATTGAATGCACATCGAATACAATAATTTAAGGGCTCAAACTCAAAGGATTTTTTGGGTCCCAAAAATTCAAAGTTCGATCTTGATTAAATCGTGCCTGCACTGGAAAAAATTCTTGGCTCCGCCCCTGTATCTATCCAATGATTTATTGCCTAAAAAACCAAAATTTTGTGTTTCTAATTTCAATCAAACATTTGAAAATTAATATCCCGTGCCCAAATCATATAAAAAAGAGTAATGGTATCCATTTAATAGTCGTGTTCGAAGGCTGTTTAGGTAGTAGCTAAGTAGTCTGTGGACTCCATTGCCACCTCGACTGTTTGTGCATGAATCCAATTTAGTCGATGTTCAGATTTTGTGTTACCCACACGAATATGGCCGAGTGATCTAATTGTTACAAAATTTAGTTTACGAATGTTTACTAACCTGAAAGTAGCCACATGAGCTAAAACCAAGTCTTAGTTTTTTGAGTTCTTCTTCAGCTTCTGGTGTTGAAAAATTCAGAAGACTAAGATCAAGAACTGGAATATCAAGATATGGAAGCTCAGAGGCGGAGCCTCCAAGGCCTTCTTTTCGGATATATTTCTCCGGTGGCGCACTGGTGCTTATGGCCAGTTCGACTGCTTTGTTAAGTGAGGGGGCAGTAGTGGCGGAAGCGACGGCGGCCATTTCCTTGCTTGTTAATGGTGAAAAATGGGTGAGTAATTACAGACAACGAGAGGGCATTAAATAGGTAAAATGACATAAAAATTTACCTAATAATGCTGTCACGGTGTGAAATCAAGAGGTTTTACTACTTTTCATTCATGAAAAATTACGAACTTTAAACTTTTTTCCATATTTTTAATTCAATGAAATGATGAATTTGCCATCATATTACGAGAAAGTAAATTGTTTTAATCAATCAGACATCAATGGGTCATCCAGTAATGCAGTCCATAGTTCATTGATCTAGACGTCTCTAATTTGATGATGAGAAGGGTGTTGTACAAATGATTCACTGCATTCTATTAAGTTTAAGTAGAAATTAGATAGATGCTATACTCATTAGCGTATAATGACGAGAAGTGTGACTAGAAAAATGAAATATAATTTTTTTTTTTTTTTTTAGTTTTAACGTTATACTTCATACATTCGAACATGATAAATTTATTTTTATTGCACAATTTACCGGAAGTAAGACCAAATCCCCTTCTAAATTTGTATTAGTTTGAATTCCAAATTAATAAAACTTATCACTTATAGTAGCTCGATTTTTAAAAAAAAGGTAAATATCAAGTTGGCAACTTAACAAACAACCAGATAATACACTCACACCATATTGTCATTAGACTAATAAACTCAGCAGTCGATTGAAGAAGTGATTCATACATAAGAATAAGCACGAAGTTTGGACTTCTTGCTATGCCTCAATTAAATGTCATATAAAATTTTACATGAAGACTAGTGAAGTGTAATAATTTGAATTTGAGTAGATACAAGATAAGGCTAAAAATTCCAATGGACTGTGAATTAGTAGATGTAGAAGACGTCAAAACTTAATTTTATTTTTCAAAAAAAGAAAAATGATAAAAAATATTATTATTGGTATATCTCACAGTCCTGACTTTGAATGTTTGGCCACCTTACCCCAAGAATTTCTTGAAGTATTTGGCCTAACCAAAACATGTTAATTTTCTTTCAATTTTCCAATATATTGTAATCAGAGCTAATAATAGCATCTCAAGATAAATACTCAAAGATCT